CCCCCCCCCCCCCCCCCCCCCCGCAAGCAGTTCTAGGTCCTCTTCCCCTTCTTCCATTCTACCTCCTTATGATCAGGAGGCCCTACCTGCAGACTGGCGTGGGCCAGTGGTCCTCTGAGGGGCCCTGGCTCTCTTCCATCCCGGCTCCTTTCATGACCTGGCGCCCTGTTTGTCTTCCAGGCCCTGCTTCCCTTCGGGCATACCCTCTCCTCTCAGTGATCACCCGGCAGCCCGCGGTCATCTCCCACCTGGTCCCTGCCCCCCCGGGAGCTGCCCAGGCCTTGTCCTGCCACCCGGCCCCCGAGGCCTCGTCCAACGAGGCCCCAGGGGGTGAGGCTCTGGGCAGCAGTGAGTCAGAGACAGAGCAGCCCACGCCGCGGCAGAAGAAGCCCCGCCGGAGCCGTACCATCTTCACCGAGCTGCAGCTCATGGGCCTGGAGAAGAAGTTCCAGAAGCAGAAGTACTTGTCCACTCCGGACAGGTGAGAACCCGGGGAAGGGACTGTCCATGGGGAAGGCCTTCGGGAAGGGGTGACACCTTTTGCTCTCGGGCCGGGATGGAGAGCCACAGGGACTCATTTAGAGAGAGGGGCAAGGACTGTTTTAGAGAGAGGTTCTACACGATGGCAGGAGTCTCACCCTTGGTGCACGTCGCAGCCTGTTCGACAGCACCCAGCCCACTGGTGCTCATCATCCTTAAGCCCCAGCTGTATCCCCATATTTAACTTAACTACTCCAGTGTGAGCATCAAAGTCAAGTTTAGTGAATAGGTTGCCCAGGCTCTGAGCTGGCAAACAGGTTTGTTTTTTAAAGCCGCTTACACGTAGGCTTAGCCGCAGTGGGATTAGCTGTGGGATGGAGACCCGGGACCTTCTCGGGCTTCTCCCCACCCTGCAATTCCCAGCTGACTCAGGCTGCGGGCCTGGCCCTTGACTGGGAAGGCCTGGACGGATTTGGTTCAGGAGCCACTAGATGTTGGGGTAGATTTGATGGATATTAAGTCAGAACCACTTGGCTAAGAGACGAGCAGGACCCAGATGTGGGTTCCTTCTTTAAACCCTTTTGAAATCCAGGTGAGGGGACTGTGACCCCTGATTTACTCAAAGACCTTCATCTCCCACCTCCTTTCTTTAATTTAGTATCTTAACTGCAGAATATGCAAGAATGTCTGTCTTACCTTATTCTTTCAAACTCACTCAGGGGCTCTGGAGAGGGCTGAGCTAATATGTGATCCTGTTTACTGGGAGGATTTTCCAGGTCCTTTTTCTGTTCTTTTGCTCACTTCCTTGTCTGTATTAGGTTTGATCCTAGTCCTATTGAAGAGAAAGGGAAGGAAACTGTCATGCATCTCTTAAGCTAGTTAGTAGCTGTTTGACACAAGTTTAAGTGAGAAAGGCGTGTACAAATCCCTCACTAAAGAGCATCTGGCTACTGATTCACTTAATTGAGCCCCCATCAGCTGGGTGCTGGGCGTTTGCTGGGGGCCGGGCATGGTGTCCGAGTGTGCATCCAGAAAGTAGGAGAAAAGAGTCTTGCTGTGCAGGAGATGCTAGGGGAGGGCAGGACAAGTACCCACGACCCAAGGCACGGGTCCTGGTGCCGGTATGTTACCAAGGGCTGGAAGACATTGTGGAGTATGTGTGAGATGGGGTTAAGGAAGGCATCTCCGAGGAGGCAACATTTCAGAAGAGCTTTGACTCTTATGGCCCAGAGGGAATGGCCCACAGGGGCACTGAGGCACGGCTCGCTGGGCACGCTGAGGGAACTGCAGGTTCCCGACAGTGCAAATGGGAGTGTAGCAGGAGAGGAGGCCGGAGGTGGGAAGGCTCATGTGCCTGGCCAAAGAATGCTGACTTCGTTTTCATTGGCAGCCTCTAAGAGTGGGGAGGGATGTGGCCAGATTTACCTTTTAGACTCCTCGTCCTGGTGGCATCCTCAGTGTCTGATCTGAGATGGAAGCGATGGAGCAGGGGAGTGGGAGGAAGCCCAGGGATAGTCCCTGAAGACCTGAATTAAGGTGGTGATAGTGGGCACGGAGAAAAGGGAATAGATTGAAGAACAGTTTTGAAGGTGGCATGGACAGGCTTGACACCGGCATGAGGAAGGGAAGAGAGATCTGGGAAGCCTGTTCCTCCTGGTTTGGGTCACCGCATAGACAGGGATACCACGACCAAAGTTGCAAGGTAGAGGACAAAATGGGTTTGGTGGGGGAAAGTGGGAGTCCTGTTGGGACGTGAGCCTCTGGGGGAGGCTTTGGCCAGACAGTGGAGACGCGGCTGTGAAGTGGGGAGTGACAGAAGGGATGCCCAGTTATCATCAGGTGTTTTGGTGGCCCCAGCAGGTAAAGGAGGGCCTCAGGGAGCTGGGCAGCCAGTGGAGGTGGGTGCCATTGTTTATGACTTGTGTGGTAGTAACTCCCAAAGGGCTTCAACAAGCATGGGTAAAATGTTAGGCTTATTTTCTGGAAGTCAGAGAATGTTTTAACAGAACTGTTCATTCCTCATCAAGCTCCTGGGACTTCCTGATACCTGCTCAGGCACCTCTCAGGTGACCTACGCAGGACTGATTCACTTGCCTGGGGAGAAGGACACCATCTGGCTGGCATGGGAGCTGCCGCCTTCACCCGCCCTCTCCCGTGTTCCTCACCTCCCTACGTGACCAGGGCCATGAGCACTCCCTCCTCCCACGCTTTCTCCCTCTTCCCTTTTGTTTGTTTCTCCAGTTTCCTAGGTGACCCCATTTAAGCGAATACGCAGGGAAGTGAGAATTTGTAACGGTGGCAGGTAATGAGAGAAAGCCGATGACAGTGAAGTGCCTTTCTGTAGCCAGAGTGAGTCAGGGGTGCATTTTTCCCAAGTGAGCTAACACCAGTTGCTAATGCAGAGCCGTGAAGTGAGCCTGCCATTGATTCACGCACCTGATGGCCTCAGGTGAACCGGGCTGCCAGGCGCGGTGGGAGCCGGGGAGACCAGAAGCCTGTGGGACAGCCCCCTGGAGTTTTGGTTCCTAATGAAAGGCTGCTTGGGAAGCAATGCTTCATTAGTGGGGAGGGCTGAGTGCTCTCAGCGCAGGGAATTTACTAGCTTCGGTCTGTTAATCACTTTCAATAAAACTGTTAGCTTCCAGTCGCCCTTTCCCTGGGACAACCGGAGATATGTGAATTGCCGATGTGAGACAGGTTCTGAGGTTTTGGGGGAAGGAAGACTGTTTTTATTATTGGAGATTGCAATCGTGCCCTCTGGTCAGAGCAGGGGAGCTGGGCAGCTGCAGTGCCAGCAAGTGGCACCTGGAACCTTCATTGCCAATACCCGCTGGTCTTGCTCACGGTCAGATGTTGGGGAAAGAAAGTTGTGGCCGAGAACGCGTTCTCGGGCATCCCCGTGGCTCAGGCTTGTGGGTGGGAAGTTTGTGTGACAGGAGGAACCTCAGAGCCACAGACTGTAATCTTCAGAAACCTTGGACTTTGAAAGTGGTGACCATCGCTCCCTGTAGCAAGGGTACTTGGCCCAGGTTGTCACTCTAGAAGTCACAGGGAGACCGCTCATGTTGGCTCAAGGAGGGGGTCCTTCCTGTTGGTGCTCAGGTAGTAGACCCGGGGTTCTTTTCAACATTGGTCCATAGCTGTAGTCTTGAGGATTGAGTTTGGAAGCCTGGCTCTCTTTCGCATTTAATATACTCCAGTTGGGTTGTTTGCATTTTCTCTTCAAAAGCTTTGAGCAGGAGCTTCCCTTGGATAAATCGAACTTGTATAAAAACATGGTGGGTGGAGGGGAGCCCCATACAGGAGGAGGCAGACAAGCCAGACGTAAGTAGGTTCACGTTGTAGCTGTACCTCTCACTCTAGGATCATCTCCCAGGGCTCAGCAAAGTTTTTCTTGTATGGGACCAGAAAGAAAGTCATTTCAGTCTCTGTCACAGCTGCTCGCCTCCAAGCCTGGAGCAGGAAAGCAGCCATGGACATAGGCAGACAAATGGGTGTCCATATGCCAATAAAAACTTTATTTACAAAAACAGGCAGCAGACAGGATTTGACCATGGTTACCGAGAGATTCTAATCTTTCCAAACTTCAGATCTCTCATCCGTAAAATGGGAATAATTATACCTACTTCACAGCATCAAAGAAGGGAATAAATAAGACAGCATGGGTTGTTGGGGGCTGAGCTAGGGGCTGGGATCCCACCGCGGTTCCCTGGAAAGGGTTGCTGGATCTTTGGAAGTAGCTCCCAACCTCACACTTCCCAGGAATGGCTTTGACATTCAGGGATTCACAGAAGGCTACAGAGAAATGCAGAACCATGGTTATCAATCAAATGGGAAGCAGGAGGGGTTACAGATTGAATGTTTCTTCTGGAACCCAAATTTTAACAGTTCAGGGCAGCTACGATGAATGAATCTGTCTATCAGAAAGTATTTTTTGAGCCCTTGGTCTGGACTGAGTACCTGATAGGCACATCTGTAGACAGAAAAGAGGCCCTTGCTGTTGAATCAGGGAGGCAGAAAGTACTTGTGGGAAACAGGGAACCCTTGACAATGTGGAGCCCCCCCGCCCCAGGTGATGGCTGACTGGTGGGAAGGTCCAGAGGGCAGAAGCTGTGGGAGGTGTCTTGGGGGTGGGAAGGCCCCCCTGCAGGAGGGGGGCTTGTGCTGCATTGGGGTTGATGAGGATTTTGACAAGGATGACAGGTCTTTACTTTTCTTTTCCAGTTTGGATTTGGGGACAGCGTCCTCATTTTATATGGGATCCACGTAAAGACTCCGTCAGGTCAGAAAGAGAACTTTATAATCAAGGCTGAGAAATCCTTTTCGGCTCCAGAGCAGACAGTGGATGTTTCCAGGATGATGGCCCCAGGTGCCCTTGGGTTGTAGTCATCCGTTTCTCAGGTTCCCAGAGTTTCATCCATGAGATACTTGGAAGGAAAATAAAGCTCTTTGGGGAAGAACTGCTTCAATGGGGGATGTCCGCACTCTGATAGCGGTGCCTGGAGCTAGTCCGCGGGACCCCATCCCTTCTGCCCCTTTCCTCCTTCCTCATCCTTCCTTTGCATCTCACACCTTCTAGGTTGGACTTGGCCCAATCTCTAGGACTCACTCAACTGCAGGTGAAGACTTGGTATCAGAACCGCAGAATGAAGTGGAAGAAAATGGTAAGGAAGAGAGTGAGTCTCACTGCGTGCCCACCATGATGGGGAAAATTCTTACCACAGGGCTGGGAAGAAGACAGGAGGGACCACTGGTGGTTTGGGTGTCGGAGAGTGGAAGGCCTTTTATGATGCTGGCTGGGAGGGAGGCCGTTGGGACGGTCAGATAAGCCATTCCTCCTGACCTGGATTTCCTGACCAGAAGGATATTCTTTTCCATAGTTTCCTTGGAAATAAAAGAAAGCTCACAAGCTTCTCAGTTGCTAGTTTTCACCCCACCTGCTGGCCTTTTCAAAGAACTTCCTTCCCCCTCCCACCAGGAGCTAAGATTAGAAGTCAGGACTCTTTGTTTATGATGACATATAGGGCACATCTGTTCCTGGGCTACATGGGCTGGAATGTAGGCATTGTCAGGCTTCAGTGGGTATCAGAGGAACCTGGATTGCAGGTACAAATACAGAAGTTGAGGCTCTCCCCGGATTCTGAGTGCAGAGGTCTGTGACAGGGCTGGGGATTCACGTGATCGCAAGCTCCCAGGTTCCCCTGGTGGTTTCCCTAACGTTGTTTTATTACCTTGCTAATCAAGCATTCCATCTTTGGTTTCTAAATGGACCTATTAGCATAAACACCCCTTGCTAAAAAACAAACAAACAAAAACACCAAATAGACATCTCCATATTTTGAAGGATTCAGCTTCATCATAGTTCACTTTTTCTTAAAAAAGAGCAACTATGAAAAATCTGTTAAATCTGGATTTTCCAAAGTGGTTGCATGTTTCATTGCTAGTTCTGTAAACCGCAAGGGAAAAGGTCAAAGCCCAGAGACAAGAGGTGAGCTGGGACGAGAGGGTGGGAAGCAACCTGTTTTCTGGAAAGACCAGGTACAACCATGGCCTGTGACCTGGGCCTTCCTCACACCCTCACTGAAACTTACTGGTCCTTTCTCCTCTGGTGCGGACCAGGTGGTCCAGACCTGCGTGGACAACACTCTAATTTGCTAACCCATCTGGCCACAAGCCATCTTTCCTGGTGTTCAAGAGCTAGAATATGGTGGGTTTTTTTTTTTTTTACAGTTACTAAAACTGAGGTCCTTCTCTGGCCCCTAGTTTTCAGGAAAACAGGTGAGTCAATAGCTATTTTTAATAGCTACTAGATACAGAGACATTTTCTCAATTTTGTGCTTTTGTCCAATAATTTTTTTCTGAAAACATTAGTCCTTGCTGTCATCTGAGAAAAAGAAATACATTGTAAATTAATTCTTAACAGGAAAAAAAGCCAGCCAGGCAGCATTTATTATATTCCTGGAAGGGAATTCCTGGGCAAATCTCATCATTTCCTCTGGGGGGACCTGAGCCTGCCAGGGAAGGATGTTCAGGGGGAGGCGGCATGGCCCCCGGAGAGCTTGCAAAGAGAGGCCAAGATGTCAGTACAAACACACATATCCTGAATGACTCCACTTGTGTGTCTTCACATCTCTTGTGAACCGTGCTTATCCTAGGCACGGTAGAAAGTAATGAAATAAGATGTAAGCCTGCCTTCATGGCATTTGTGACGCCATTGGAAAGTCAAGATCCAGAAAGCAGCCAGGGAGCATGTGATGGTGAATTAGAATTCTTGTAGGTATATGAACCAGAAGTGTTCAGGGGTTGGGTATTTGAGAAGGGTGTAAGGAAAAGTTGAAGGATAAATGGGATTTGGTGAAATATGTCATTCCAAAACCTTAAGAATGCTACAGGTACATGAAGATGATGGCTGAGGGGCACCTTGGTGGCTCAGTGGGTCAAGCGTCTGCCTTCTGCTAAGGTCGTGATCTTGGGGTCCTGGGGTTGAGCCCCACATGGGGCTCCTTTCTCAGCGGGGAGCCTGCTTCTCTTCTGCCTGCCTCTCTGCCTGCTTGTGTGAGCACTCGCACGTGTACGCTCTTGCTCTCTTTCTCCATGACAAATAAATAAATAAAATCTGGGGGGGTGGGGAGAAAGAAAGAAAGAAGAAAATAATGACGGAAACTTCCCGGGGAACTGATCTCAGAAAGAACCAGATCTGGGAGTTAGAAACTCTGGGCCGAGTTCCCATGCCTGTCCCTCCCCGGCTGATTTCGGGCAAGTCCGCCACCCACCTCCTTCCTCGTCAATCATCATCATCGAAATCAATGTCTCCTGAGTGGCAGAGGCATTGTTGAAATCAGTTATCAGCGATCTCTTCATGAGTCAGACGATTAAGGAATTGACAGCCTGCCATCCCCGCCAGCTCCGCCCGCTGCCCGTGGGACGAGCGTGTGCCTTTGCCTCTGACGTCACCGGTTGTTCACCAGCCACTGGGCTGCCGGCTCAAGTGCGAGCTGGTTAGTGAGGGTCAGCCCTGTCACCAAAAGCAAAATGGAAGTCACTCAGCAGATTTAACCTCAGAGAGCATTCCACGGGCCAGTTGAATCCAGGTCCCTTCAGGAGAGGCAGGAGTGCCAAGCACTGTGTCCGCTCTAGCAGTTAAATGTTGAGCGTAGGAATGGAGCACCGGGGCAACGGAGATGCCAAGATAAGTCACGAACATGTCCATTACAAAATAAAATGAGAAAAGAGTACCCCGTCAGGTGGGAGGGGACCGACCTGTGAAACTAGTAATTATTCAGAGGGATCAGGTCCACAGTGGACTTTACTGGGTTTGAAATCAGGATAGAGAAAGGGAGGGCGTCAGGGAAGAGGTGTCGTCTAAAATGGTTTCAGCAGACAAATAGAAGAGGGCCAGGCAAAGGTGGGGAGGGTGTCACGGTCACAAGGAAGAAGCCAGAGCACCCGGGGCTCTTTGAACGACTTCAGAATGGCCAGAGCTACAAAGGGGAGGGTAGTAGTTCCATTGCGGGTCTGAATTCTGACTCCCCTTCAACAGCGAGGCATTGTTGGGATCCAGATTGCCTCATATGTTTTCCTGGTAGAACTCTTTCAAGGCTATCTCTTCAAGTACTGGGAGGAAAAGAAAAAGCTAATTGGGTAATAAAGATGTCTCAAGGCTAGTCACCTAATTGGAACTGGAAAAAGATTAGCACTCAGTTCTCAAGAGTTACTCACAGGGCGGCCAAGGAGAGCGCTGCCAGAGGCCAGATAGCATCTCAGACTAGTTCCTACCGGTCAGCATTGGTAACTTCTAGCGGGTTGGATAAATTTCATCTAGCACACGAGATGGGACGCTCACCTTCTATTCCATTTCTGTTTGGCTCGAGTTCCAGGAGGACCCAGAGTTTTGCAATGGGCCAAAAGTGCCTCATCATTCAGGGATCTCTCTCAGCTCTAAAACCCAGTTCAGTGAGAGGATCCGAATGGACACCAGCCTCCTGCCCTGGTCACAGGATTGGGTGGGCCACAGAGCAGGCGCCGTCCTCATCTTGGGGCGCTGCAGATCTCTAGATAGTCAACAATTCCGTGAAATGGCTACTCTCTATGTGATCTTGAGCAGGTTCCTTAACCTCTGGGGTCCTGTTTTCCCGTTAGTAAAATGCCTCATACATAAACACCTTATAGGGCTGTGGTGCTAAATGAGCTCATCCCTGTGAGCGCTTTCTAGCAGGGCTTCCTGCATAGAACGCAGCTGAGAAGTGTTAACCACCATCCTCCTCTTCCTCCTCCTCCTCCTTTATTATTATTATTATTTACTTAGCCATGTAATTCACATCTTCAGAGAATCCAGTTGGGGAGGCCAGAAAATATATAAGCAGAAACTGAATCCTACAGGTTTCTGGGGCCCCGAAACTGTCTTCTGGATGAGAACCATCCTGGCTGTCCTTTCTCGCCGGGCCTGCTTCGGCTCAGTGCTCTAGCATGTGGGGCATGGCGTCTTCCGGCAGGGAAAGGCTGTCGAGCAGGATGCAGGAAAAAGATTTGTGCCAGGGAATCCCAACTTCTCAGCTTCATGGAAATAGCCATCAGTTGATCCGACTCTCCCTGCTCCAGAGAGCCGCAGATGAAGACAGAAAAAGGTGCAGAAAGCACCCCTGGGGAAGGCGCCCGTGACCTAGGGTCTGCCGGGAGACTGGGGAACTGCAGAGAGGTATTAGAATCAGAAATCACAGAGGCACATTTGACATATCCCTCACTCATTATGCACAATGAGATATTGGTAAGAGCGTTAGGGTCAAGTGGGCAGGGCTGTGTGTTCAAATCCCAGCCCTGCCCTTGGCTTGCTCTTGGCCCATGGCAGATTACTGTGCCTGCTCAGTTTCCTGTCTGAGTAATGGGGGAGGTAGAGGGCCCCTCCCTGCGCTCATGGTCCGTGCTCTGCCATCTAACTGCGTGTCTCCCACCCAAGTGCCTTGGAAAGGAAACAGGCCTGTCCTGACATCTTCAGCCACAACATATTTGAATATCTAGTTGAAGGGTTTTGAGGGGTGAGGGGAGCTGCGGCTAGCAGCAAACACGACTAATGGAGGTAGATGGTGTCTAGCTGTTTCTCAAAGAGGCATGTGACCTCGGGTGCGGTGTGTTGTCTGGACTCCCCCGACCAAGGGGACTAAATTGGCTTTAGGAATAATTGGGCAGAAGGGACCCCGGGGAGGAGGGCCACGGGGTGCATGAGAACGCACAGCTCCTGGCATGGGGCGGTTATGAGATAATTGCTTGTCTCAGGTGTGCTGGGAGGCAAGGGGCCAGAGGTCGAGCGCGGGAAGCAGCCAGGAGGGTAGTTATCTCCTAATTATTGCTTGCGCTGGAATGTTTTATCCCATTTAGAAAATGGCTTGATTGTTTTGATTTTTTTTTTCCTCCGTGCAGTAGGAAAACAGCCAGGTGGGGTCTATCCAAGCTGTGTGGGTGGTGTTTTCTAATTGCTGGGCTGGACTTTCTTTTGCCAATTAGGTGGCTTCCTTAGACCTGCCCTTTTATAACTTGATTACTATATGGGGCAACTTAATTTTGTATAACCTCTTTCATACCAAGTGGAGCTGCTTTCAACACATAAATTCCATCTTGGCACATCTGGGCACTTTCAACAGCCTGCACTCAGACTGAAATAAAAATCAGATGCTGACTTATGTGAAAAGGAATATAGGGACGCCTTCTCCCCAGAGGTGCATTCTGTCAGCGTCTCTACCTTGTTAGAGGTCCCCTTCCTAGTGTGTTTGCTGTCCGCGTGGAAAGTGCAGTGGCTGAGCAGATCCCCAGCTAGAAAGAGGTGTTTGTTGAGAGCCTCTGGGTTTCCTCACACCTTATACAAAAAATAACTCAAAGTGAACCATAGACCTAAAGGTAAAAGCTAAAACTGTAAAACTCTTAGAAGAAAATGTACTCGCTTCTGCTGCACATATAGTAAAATTGGAACGATACAGAGAAGATTAGCATGGCCCCTGCGCAAGGATGACACGCAAATTCGTGAAGTGCTCCATATTTTTTTATGGAACCAGAAAAGACCTCGAATAGCCAGAGGAAAGTTGAAAAAAGAAAATTTAAGAGTAAATATTCATGGCCTTGGATTAGGCAAAATCTCCTGAGCACACCAAAGCCCAAGCAACGAAAGAGAAAATAAATTGGTCTTCATCAGAACTAAAAGCCTATATGCTGTGAAGGACATTGCCAAGAGAGGGAAGAGACAACACACGGAACAGGAGAGGGCCTTTGCAAATTTTGTATCTGATGATGGACTTGTATCCTGAATGTGTATAAAAAACCCTTACACCTCGGGGCGCCTGGGTGGTTCAGTGGGTTAAAGCCTCTGCCTTTGGCTCGGGTCATGATCCCAGAGTCCTGGGATCGAGCCCTGAGTCGGGCTCTCTGCTCAGCAAGGGGCCTGCTTCCTCTCTCTCTGCCTGCCTCTCCACCTGCTTGTGATCTCTGTCTGTCAAGTAAATAAATAAAATCTTAAAAAAAAAAAAAAAGAACCCTTACACCTCAATAATAATAAGGTGACCGAATTTCACATGAGTGAAGGATTTGGATAGACCTCTGTCTCAAGAAAACATATGGTTGGCCCATAAGCACAGGAAAAGATGCTCCTCTTCATCAGTCCTCAGGGAAATGTAACTCACAAGCATGGGGTACCACGGCCTTCCCTCTGGCGTGGCTGGAATCAGAAAGACATACCATCACATACTGGTGAGGATATGGAGAATTGGATCCCTCATAGACTGCTGATTGGAACATGGTGCAATCGCTTTGGCAAACAGTCCGGAAGGTCCAAAAAACAAAAAAAACAAAAAAACAGAGTTACCATATGACACAGCAATCCCAGTTGTACGGATACACCCAAAAGAAGTGAACAGATGTTTCTGTACCCTCTTTACAGCAGCACTGTTCACAACAGCCAAAAGGTAGTAGCAACCTGCGTGTCTCTCCACTGATGAATGGGTAAATGGAATGTGATCTGTTCCCACAATGGCTATTAGTTGGCCATAAAAAGGAATTGAAGTATTGATCTAGGCTACAGCATGGATGACCCTTGAAAGCATCTCATGCTGAGTGAAAAGAAGCCAATGGCAAAGGATGACATACTGTGTAACTCAATTCATATGAAATAGCAAGAACAGGCAAATCTATAGAGACAAAAGGCAGACGAGTGGTTGCCTAGGGTTGGGGGTGCAGGGCCTGGGGCAAAATACAGGTGACTGTTAATGGGTATGGGGTTTCTTTTGGGGGGTGCTAAGAATGTTCTAAAATTGGATTCTGGGGTGCCTGGGTGGCTCAGTGGGTTAAGCCCCTGCCTTCGGCTCAGGTCATGATCTCAGGGATCCTGGGATCGAGTTCCGCATCAGGCTCTCTGCTTGGCAGGGAGCCTGCTTCCTCCTCCCTTTCTCTCTGCCTGCCTCTCTGCCTACTTGTGATCTCTCTGTCAAATAAATAAATAAAATCTTTAAAAAATAATAAAATAAAATTGGATTCTGGTGATAGTCGTACAGTTCTGACTGTATAAAAGATCACTTAATTGTCACTAGGAAGTGTATGGTATGTGAATTTTATCTCAATAAAGCTGTTTAAAACAAGAATTTCTGGCTTATTGAGTTACTGCCTTCATTCCTACAGTTCAGCACCCGGAGGTCCTGTGCTTCTCTTGAAAGAAAGAGGTGTAATCGATTGATAAGTATTTAGTAACTGTTAGAGTTAGTTGAAAGTGATTTGTCTGGAGCACAAAGCAAGGGAAAGTTGCAGGATTTACCTTCAAGGAACCTCTGTTCAACTACAGAAGATAAGATTAAGTGGGTTATGTAAGTAGCACAATACATTTCACTCCTAATTATCCGTGCTAATCCAGGTCCTCCTGCAGCGCGTGGCACTAGCTGCCCAGGAAAGCCACAAGGACACCAAGTCAGAGCTCAGAACCAATGGAAGAACGGACTGTCTGTGATATTCTAAAGTAACATACACGTATTTTTAAAGTTCTGCCTTTGTAAGTTACAGTATTCTCGACATCACACATTGGGATAATAAATGTGCAAGTCCATTGCGATCAGTCAAAGCTATTTGGCGCGCTGTTACATTTCTTGCTCTGTATCTTTCTTCCCCTCCAGTTGTTGAATGCCTGCTCCCTGCAGCGGCAGAGTGGGAGGAGCAGGCAAGTAAATGTGCAGGGACAGTGGTTTGTGAAAGGTGCTCTAACAGAAGAAGGGGAAGAGCTCATCTTGCCCCTGGTGGAGGGCCTCTGCGTGGACCTGGGAGGTCAGGGAAGGCTCCCCACAGGAGCACCAGGAGAGGAGGGTGGGGAGTCGGGTTCTGCTGAGCAGGAAGAGTTCTTGCTCTCTTGCATACGTTGTATCTGTTGGTCACCCTCGTCATCCCCCTGTGAGAGGAGGTGGGATCATGTCCGTTTTGTAGACTAGGAAGCTGAGGCTCAGTCTTTCAGGAACTCTCCCAAAGACGCAGCTGCTAAGGAGCGGAGTAAGAATTCAACTACTGTAGTGATTCGACTTTTGAAACTGGCTGGAACTTACTATTATTCTCTACTCCGTCTTTGAGCCATTCAGTTGTATATCTCTTGTAACATTTTTTCTTACAGAAATACTTACACGTGATCATTGTACCAAAAAAATAGAGACTACAAAAGAGAGAGAGAGAAAGAAAGAAAGAAAAATTAAAAATTCTTCATGATCTTGACACTGAAAACAGGTCATCCGTCCTCCAGATTGGGTTATGCTGGTTTATAACCTGTTTTCCACAAAAGTACGTTAATGATATTTCCCATGTCATTAAACATTCTACACAAATGATTGTAATATTTATCAAGTATTCTCTCTCTGGAATATGCTATAATTATCTACTCAATCATATAACTAAACTTTAGAGTATCCCCCCCCCCCCAATTTTTTCTGTTATCACCGACTTTTTGTTGAACGTTTCTACAGATCAGTGTTCATCTCAGTCTTTGATGACTCACTTAGGCTAAATTATGAGAAGTGAAATTCCTTGTCCGAGTATGCACAAGACTGGATTTGAATTCTCAGTTTCCCTTTTGAGAAGGTTATAGCAATGACACTCCCACGCTGGAGTATTTATTTTCCTGCTTGCTATAAATATTGGCTTTTTAACTTGTCAACTTGATAGGTACTGCTTTAATATTTTAATTGTTATTCCTTTCCTTACTGTTGAAGTTGGCTTATTTAATGTGTTTGCGATCATTTTATTTAAAGCCAAAATATGCGATACTCACTGAAAGTACATTGAACATTTAAAGAATGGACGTATCTTGGGCGCCTGGGTGGCTCAGTCAGTTAAGTGTGTTCCTTTGGTCATGATCTTGGGGTCCTGGGGTCAAGCCCCATGTCGGGCTCCCTGATCAGTGGGGAGTCCCTCTGCTAACCTTCCTCTCCTGCTAGCACATGTTCTCTCTCTCTTTCTCTCTTTCAAATAAGTAAATAAAATCCTTTTTAAAAGGGGTGCCTGGGTGGCTCAGTTGGTTAAGCGCCTGCCTTCAGCTCAGGTCATGATCCCAGGGTCCTGGAATTGAGTCCCGCATCAGGCTCCCTGCTCAATGGGGAGCCTGCTTCCCCTCCTCCCATTGCCTACTTGTGCTCTTTCTCCCTCTGTCAAATAAATAAATAAAATCTTTTTAAAAAGTCACTCTAAAATAATAATAATGACAATAATAAAAAGAATGAAGATGTCTTTATACTCTAGAGGTGATGGGTTGAAAATACCTTTTGCCAGGCCATCACTGCTGGGAAGGAACCCTATAGACCCTGTTGAGTGGGAAAGTGGAGGGAGGGAGTTATTAGGTTTAATGACTGTTTTTTTTCTCCCATGAAGGTTCTTAAAGGTGGACAGGAAGCACCTACAAAACCCAAAGGTCGTCCCAAGAAGAACTCCATCCCCACATCAGAAGAGATTGAAGCTGAAGAGAAAATGCACAGCCAGGCCCAGAGCCAGGAGCGCCTTGCACCCTCCCAGGGACAGGAGGAGCTCTGTGACCCACAGGAATCGGAAGCATGCGATGTCTCCGTAGAGGTGGCAGAGCCCCCCGGCCAGGCCCAGGAGTTGCCAGTAGCCTCTTCGGAACCCCCACCATCAAGCTAAAATAAAAACTCAATTGGGGGAAGGGGAAGATGGGGAGGAATGGAAAGAGGGAAGTCAGGGAGAATAGAGAGAGATACGCTCCCCAAAGCCTGGTAAACTTGGCGAGAAGAGATCCACGTCTCCCAGCCCCCACGGGTCTCAGTGGTTTTCATCACAAGCATTTGATGAAGACCTGCTTGCCTTAGGCCTTTCTCTTCCTGAAAGGCTGTTTTAGCCACGGGATGCCCTTGATGAAGGGAGACAGTGCCTTGGAACTGCCTGCCCCTGCTGGGGCGAGGGCTGCGGGGCTGGGTACCAGAGCCCACCCCGGGGCTGGCACGGTGGGGGGCTGCCCCGGCTCTCTCCCTCCAGCCCCTGCACAGCCCGTCATCAAAGCAGAGAGATCATGGTGGAGCCCAGGCCGCAAGCCTGGCCTCCTTGCTAACTCAGCACTTATTTCTGTCGTTTTAAAAGAGAATTTAATGTTTTTGGTTGTTTTTGGGGGGGTGGAGGCGGGGGGGTAGGGCCGGGCTGGTGAGGGTGGGCAGAAAAGGGTGGGGGAAGCAAGTTCTGAGTTATTAGAATTGTTTCTGAATAAAGTTCGTTTGAAGACCCGTGTGCCTTTGTACCCATTCTAAGTCAGGTGACCCAAGAGCGGAGAAGCCCTGGTTTTCTCGCTTTTTTGAGTTGCCCTCCCTGAAGCTGCCAAGCAGATTCTGTTAAGATAACTTCTATTTTTTAATTAAAAATAAATCTTTCAAAAGGATCGGGTGTTTTGTGTCTTCTGGGGAGTATATTTAGCCCTGTCTGGATACGGCTTGTGGAAAGACCCGGAGAGATAGCCCAGCTCCGCAGGCTCTCATTTTGCCCACTGTAAAATAGAAGATGGGTCTCTGCCCATCACCCCTCCCACCGCCTTCTGCCAGAGCCGCTCTGCCATCAGCCACTTTCCACCGTGGGCTTCCAGCTTTAAAAACGGCTTCACTTTTTTGAAGAACACATAATAGATGTATGTGCTTCCGAAGTCAAACAAAAAGAAGTCTTGCTTCTCCCCGCCCCCAACTCCCGCACCCCCCTCCCCCGCATCCTGCACAGGTAACCATTTTTATGGGTTTCTTGTTTATTAAGTATCCATTTGGCTGATGGGCTCCGCAGCTTTTAGCAAAAGAAGATTTGAGAGCTTCTTGGCTAGAGGTGCTCTGCGATTTTAAATTTAAATTTAAAATGATGTCCCACTTTCCCAGGAAAGAGGGAAGCCCCGGACTCGCTGAAGGAGGAAAATTCTGACCCTTTCTTGTCTGATTGTCGTGCCGGGGGGGCCCCTGAGCCCACAGACGGCCTGCGGGGCAGAGCGCCAGGCTCGTTGACTAGCAATTCTTGATCACATGGTAACTCTGCCCAGTTGTGGGCTCGGGAGCCATCTACCCGCTTTCGTAACGGCCGCAACTAGGGAGCAGAAGCTGCTGCTGGTTCTGTAAAACAACTCATGTCATTTTTTGGAAAGTCACACGGGGATGACCTGCTTGTGTTCAACCATCAGGCTGCCGGCTTGCCCCCGTTAACACCGCCAATCAGAGTGACTGCGATTTCGACTTGGCTAGGCAGCGCCTCCTTTCCCTTTTCTCTCAAGATCAGCAAAAAGAAAGCCAGTCATTTCCCTGCCTCTTGCGAACAAAGGAGCTGAGGATTTGGCCTCCGAGAACCAGTTTGTGCAGACCACACCCAGCTGCAGGTGAGGTTTCTGGAGGTTTCTGGGGCTGTGCACATGGGGCGCTGCCTCCCTCACCTCGAGCCCACTCCCCACCCAGGACAGGTTTACGATCTGCCTGCCAAGGGGGGGACCCAGTGAGCTGGCGTGTACCCCTGGCCACAGGAAGCAGGTGGGTCTGTGCCAATTGGGGCTCAGTCCTAGGGAAGGGCTCTGTCCTGTCCAGCCCCATCCTGGAAAGACTTTGTATTAGGATGCTGTTTTCCTGTGGTGGTTTTCGGTCTCTTGTCATGGACTCTCACAACGTCCCCTTCTGAGGGGTCTGACACTGACTGTTGTCACACACAATCCTGAGCTAGGCTTCCGGGCACTGTTTCTGACTTGTGACCCTGTCCGTGGCCTGTCACCTACAGTGTCTCTAGGGGTTGGAGGTATTTCAGTGCCTGGTCTCAGACCTCCCCTGATCTTTCCTGCCGTTCTGGAAGCCCTGAGCTCAAGGTCAACTCTGCTTGGGAGCCCTGGGCTTGTCCTGGGGCCTCAGCTCTGTGTAGCCTTGCTCTGGAACTGCAAGATGGGTCAGGGCTGGGCTGCGGGCATGTGAGTGGGCATCGATTCCACACCAAGCCCTGCTCATCCTTCACCTTCCCCTTTTCCCTCCAGTCTTCCCATTTGCCCTCTACTTCCCGAGACATGTGATGGCACCCAGAAACCCAGCTCCACAGGGTGTCTCTGAGCTGTGACTAGGAGGTGGCATTCAGCGCAGTCTGGAGCGGAGCCATTCAGGGACCCCTGGCCCCAGGGTTTCCCCTGCACCAAGCCCAGTGTGCTCGCTTTCTCAGCTGCTTTCTAGGAGGCCTCTCTCTGGGCCTGCACTCATCTTTGTGGGCCTCACTAAACAAAAGCATTCCCTCCCTTGTCTGACATCCAGGATGGTGACCCCATGAGGGTTCAGGGTCTTACTGTCGGGTCTGGTCACTTGATGCTTTCTGATGTTTTCCAGAGGAAGGGAGCAAGCCAAAGCCAACTGCCCACACAGGAAGCCAGCCACTGAGATATCGCCCTCCCACCGCCCTCCCCCCACCCACCGTTTTGTTTGTTTGTTTGTTTGTTTGTAGTGTCTCTGCTCTGAGCATTGGAGAATGCTTTTATGAGCTCTTTGAGCTGATGCTGCCCCATTAGGCTGTGAAATGGGCTATTTCTTCCAGTTTTATAGGAAGCCTGTTAACTGGAGAGAGGTTAATTTGGCTCTCCCCTGGTCAGGTATCTGGTCAGGAGCCATGCTGAGAACCGAGCCCGGGGCAGGTTCCTGTGGGGACCTTCAAGGTGAGTGCTAGCCTGCTGTCCCTCCTGAGGCTGCAGGGGGATGGGACATAGGGGGCTTTCAGCAACGGTCTGCCCCTTGAGCATGAGTGCTTTGTCCTAGTCAGGGATTAGGAGGGGTTGGGGGCTTTCCAGGCTACAGTAGGTGAGGCCACCAGGAGCCACCGCCTGTGCTCCCACCCCTTGAATCTGCTATCTACCATCTATCTATCTATTTTAAGATTTTATTTATTTATTTGACAGAGAGAGCACAAGCAGGGGGATCGGCTGAGCAAGGGAGTAGTAGACTCCCTGCAGAGCAGAGAGCCCAATGTGGGACTCTATCCCAGGACCCCAGGGTCATGACCTGAGCTGCAGGCAGCCACTTAACCAACTGAGCCGCCCTGGCGCCCACCCCCACCCCCAAGACAAACATAACCCCTTCAGGCCGCCCCCTGCATCTTCTATGTTCGCAAGGATTCCTGGAGCAAGTTCTAGACCCTCAGTAAGCATCCAAGTGTCTAACAACGGGTCTGTGTTCTCAGTCACTGTACCCAGATTTGCTTCTCCAGAGTCTATGAGGGCTGGTTGAGACCCAATGCTCAGCCCAAGCTTGACTCAGAACGATAACCAAATGGGTCTCCTGCTGGGAGCCTGGAGTCTTCAAACCAGTCTGAACAGATTCATCAGACACCAACCCTCACTAGGCTGCTTTCAGGTTTTTCTCAGAGACAAGTCAGTTGTAAAGCTGCCTTAGAGAAGGGGTCGTGGGGACCTCTGTGAGCCCCTCTTCCCTTCCCCAGGTGCCTCGAGTTCCCTGTCCTCCTCACGACCTTTCAACTTGACACCACCCGCCCCACACCCTGGGCTGGGCTGGGCTGGAGCTCTGCTGCTGGAGATGAAACGCTTTCCTCAGTAGGCTGTGCTTTGTCACCCTGGTCACGTGGTGTCCACTCAACAGAAAAGGAGCAGGGACTCCGCAGGACCAGATTAAAGCGTGTCCCAAGGGGTGCTCCCCCATCTCTCCCCGGCCTGGGTTAGCCACTAGGTCACTGCCTGATCCTCTGGCCATTTTTTGTAGCTGCCGCCTCAATCTTGCCCTGGACTGTGTCTGAAGGTCTGAAGGATCTTTGAAGGGCAGGAAGTATTGGGTTAGAGGGTTGAAATGAGTCTTGTAGAAAAAAAAAAAAAACAAAAACAAACTTGTTTCTCAGGATTTCTGTGCACTGAGTTGCTTATGTTTGCCTAAAGCTCTGAGGAGCTGCTGTGGCTCCTTGTGTGGACAGGCACCGCCTCCGCCCCTTCACTACTCTCTTCTCCACTGTGTTGCCTTGCATCGCGCCTTCCACGAGAGATCCTCTCTCTTCCAGTCACGCTCCGAGGGGCTGCCCCCCAGCCTGCTCTGTGCCACAGAGACAACGTCCTCTCTCCTACCTGCCTTGGCTCCCCTCTCGTTTACCCTTCTCAGCCACGTCTTCCTGTTCCTTATTCACCTCACCTCCTCTCCAATCTAACCTGTTAATTCCTCTCCACCTCTTCCTCTTAATGCACCTTTTGTCATTAGCACCGTGGGCCTGCCATCTTTCCAAAGAGGAGATGGATTAGTTTTGTTTCCCTATTAAATAGAGCCTAAATTCCTTGAGGCTGTTTTTCAGTTCACGGGTTCTGACGTCCTTTTCCGGTGCTCAGAGCTCTGAAGGCCCACGGGTGGGTAATGAGAGGACCTGGGTGCTCCTGGTCTCCTGCTGACATCTTTCTTGGAGGCCCAGAGGTTTTGAGTTCTCAGCAGTATGGTGGGTACGCCCACTGTCATGAAGCCTTGAGGCCCCAAATCATGAAGCAACTCTCCTGGGCATTGGCCATTGTCAGAGCCACACTCATTGGCTACAGGGCTTGGGGCTGCCAGCACTTTTCAGAGACAAGAGGGAAGGCAGAGCAAAAGATCTTGGTTGCCTGCGGAAACATTCCCATCACCCAAGGGAAGTAATGCTGGGCCCATTTCCCCAGGGCCAAAGAAGGCAAAGGAGGATGAGGAGCCAGACTTGAAGACCCTCATGGCCAAGGACCAATCCTTCCCCACTCCACCCCCTCCATTTTGCTAATTCCTTTTGGAAAAACTGCTGACAGGGTTCTGAAGAAGATGCCCTCAGACGATTTCTCCTCAAGATCACAGGCAGTGTTGCCAGGGGCAGGCTGGGAGGAAGATGATGCCTCCTGAGACATCTGTCTAAAACGAAAATTAACATCCTGTCTATACCCGAATCATGGTCGGTAGCTGGTGGTGGGTTGGTGAATTTGTTTGACCTGATTCAAGAGGTGATATAAAAGG